ATTGACTTATTTACAACACCCAGTTGATGCTAGCATATAAATCATTGTTCTCACAGTAGCAACTATCTACAAAACCGACAGCGCGTTGTATATACACGTAAATGGAGTACTGAGCACTGCATGGGTTAATCTTGGAGTAGTGTTATGAAATGCGTCCTACTGTGTCTCTTGTCATTGAGAATTATTTAATATTGACTGTACAGAAGCGGTGTTATTGTTATTACTGTAAGGACTGCCAGCGTCCATAAAACTGAATTAATGTTTACATACCAACTGTAGCGATAGGCATTGTGCTACTATTTCCCAAATCATAAACCCGAATGAAGGTGGACTGAAGTGGGTTGACTCAAAGCAGACTTAGACTTTATGATCTGCCGACGCCTAAATCGAGGTCAGTGGGTTTTGTGCAAGGAGAAAGGATGGCAACTGACCCTAAATAATGTATACAGTTGGGGATCAAGTATACAATGGTCTGTGACCCCTGTGTTTGATTGGTGTATAGAATTTAGAATTTACAGGTGTGTACATATTTACAGGTGTGTGCAGGTGTGTGCTGTTGTGTCTTCCATTGTGACGAGCAGTCCATGGAACAACTTATTGTTGCTGCTAAAATTATCATGAGAAGATCCCTCTTGTGCTCTCACTCCCTGCACCGTGGTGTAGCACGTGGGTGTTCGCGCTGTTCCTCCTACAGTTGTGCCCCCACCGTTATCGATGCCATCTTATACGCATTCCTACAACTCTCTTAAGCATCATTATTCAGTGATGGGTATAAAATATCAAACAGCAGATTATATTGGGTACAGGGTATTTATTGCCGTGTACCCTATTTAAAATTACAGATTTTGAGTTATTTTGCAATTTATTGTTCTCATTTGGAGACATACGGGAAAGATTACAGAATACCGGATACATTTTTAGAACGCCGCCATTTTTAGAACTGCACGAAGTGAAGTGCGCAAAACGCTTCCTTAGCAACAAGTGTGTTTTGTTTACGTTCTCGGCTCAAATGAATTTCCACATTTTCTTTAGCCCTTGGGCATTTATTACTGTCGTCTTTAGCCCTTAGTTGTATTTTTAGGGTTAGGGGGTGGGATTTTTGTATTACTTACCTGTTCACAAAACGAAATCATCTAGGTCGTCGTCATTGTCTATCGCCTGTATCGGAGCCATAGGACGCCGAGGTTTCACAGTTTGTCATCCTTTGCGTGTGAGTTATATACGCGTTTGATCAGTTCTAGGAATGCAATGAACTTGTCGTCGCGGTCACTGAAATATTTCCGGCGCACACAGAATTCCTCGAAATACGAGGAATATAAGGCTTTGGTGGTACCAGATCTAGGCAGTGAACGCTTGAGGGCCCCCCACGACGATTCAGTGCTATTTGTGTGGGCACCTGTTTCCGGGTTCTTGAAAAAATGTATTGAGTGGTTTACTGTCAGATGCGTGAAGTCTTCCTCTTTTAAACACTCATACGCTTTCCAACAATCACTTATTATAGTAGTACCTGGCTATATGTGTTTTAGTATTTGAGGAATTAAAGTGTTTGAGTCACGTTTGTCTACACACACAAAGAAACATTGCTTTGTTTCCCGATCAATGCCCCCCAAAACCCACTGTCCTTCTACTCGTTTTCCCTTGTTGAATTTACGTTTCCCAAATTTTGATTCGTCAATTTCAAAGATATGTCCCACACCACCGATCTTTTCACTGTCCTCGTCAACAATACATACACACACCTCACGACAAAAATGGAACCAATCAACGCTGGTGCTGCATGAGGACATATCAAGTTCCCGACGAACGAAATCCTGTGGGAGTCGGTACACCCATCAATAAGTCAACAATAAGATTTTTCCAACATTAAGTTTGCTATTTTCGAACCATGAATTGTTCCGGATTGAAATTTTTTGGGCACACGCACGATTGTTACATTTCCAGCAATATCCGTCTTTACTGTAGCTTGCGTCTCTGCACAAATAGAATTTTCCACTTCCGCACTTCAAACAAATTTTTCCCTCCCAATTGCCGAATAATTCTTTTCTTCTTAAAAAACGAAACAATTCTTCTTTATCCTCACTTAATCTAAACACATCCCACAATCGCATTTTCATAAATCATGACGAACGCCGAGTTCTACTATACATCCAAATAAGGTGGTTACTAGGGTATGACGTATCGGCAAAAATTGACCAATCAAGGGTCACTTACCTGCTAGAAGATACCCACGCTCAATGGCTCGAACTCCCAGAATTCCATAGCTCCTATTTCTTTGATGACCATTCATTTCTTTGTTTTTGCAAACTTACCTTTCATATTTAAATTCAATGGTTAGTTTTACTAACCGGAAGTCGTTTCAAAGAATCGATTTATTATGTTTATTTTGCATTTTGATGCCTCCTTATTATTCAGAATGTTATGGTTCGTGCTCCCTTATATAAGGAAGTGCACGTGCCGTAAACAATATGGCTGGTATGCATCCGGTATTCTGTAGGTGTACCGACATACGAAATATACGTTAGAAACCCCAGTTCGTCCATCTCAAACATTCCACGCCAGTGGGTATTCCGGGGCCCAGCTGTCCAAGATGTTTCTGTTCGTTGTGCTGGGTTGCCTCCTCAGCTGCCGGGTCGTTGATTCGAATCCACGTAATTATAGGCAGTTACACTAAGGTTAGAACGAAAGGGACCATTAATTTTAGCTCGGTATGAACGTCGATCGTACAGGAAGTTGTCGTGCTAAAAAAGCCGTTTTTTTCCGTCAGTGACGATCAGACAACGGTACATCACTGTCATCCCAGACAGGGTTGTTGTACCACATTTCTATGGCCATCCTCTAAACACAAGGCTAGTCTTCATGGACGACAATGCTAGTACACATCGTGAACGTGACGTTAGGTGGTAGCAACTCTAACTTTCCCGACATGAGTCCAGATCTCAATCCATTTTTGGGACATTTTCGGTCGACAATTACGCCAGAGATATCTTCGACTACAAAATCGTGCATTGAAAACTGTCCATTAAGAATGGAAGGCGATACCTCAACGTCAAATTCAACGCTTGATACAGTCAGGGATGTTATTGCCTTTGGCGGAGGTTACACATTTTGACATGGTGCTCGGTTATTCATACTTAGTTAAATTTTTGAAAACTATATGTCAGAACCTAGAACATGACCGCACTTGTTAATGTAATAAGGGTCAATTTTTGCCATGGCTGGTTCTCTGAATAAACTTCAGTTTTACGTTCTTTTTGCGTTACATTTGCCATTTAATTATTCCTTGAGCGTCGATTTATACAGACAGTAAGTTAAGTTGAGGTTTGGATAAGTTTCTTTGCTATGGTAAATGGTTTTGTATTAGTCGGTACATGACCTTCAGGCAGCGGCTAGTCAGGTTGACTGAGTGCCTCCAAAGTGCCATTGTTGTAATACTGTGTAGTTTAGACTAACATATAATCTCTGAAATGAACATAATTTTTTTACAAAAAATAATAATCATGAAATATAAAGAAAAGGAGTCCAGAGACTTTCTTCATTTTCAGAAACCGTGGAAACCTAGACTTGCGACGTATTTTATAGACTTACACAGGCTTTCTTCGATATATTTGTTTTAGGGTCTGTATGACAGACATGGACCCACTGGTGCCCTCTGTTTATCCAAAACTATAACAGCCAGGAACTCATGGGTTGTCTAAACACCTTTGCAATTCCACGTATTCGTAACTCATCATTTAATACAGTAATAAAGAGGGTAGGAAGATATAGAAGTCGAGAAATAGTTTCCGTTGACACCTTACAGAAAATCCTCTAGCCTCTAGGCGGTGGGGTAGCTTCATGGTTAAAGCGTTCGCTCGTAAAGCTGAAGACCGGGTTCGATGCCCCACATAGGTACAATGTGTGAAGCCCATTTCTGGTGTCCCCTGCCGTGATATTGCTGGAATATTGCTATAAGCGACATAACACCATACTCACTCACTCACTCACTCACTAACTCTAATTATGTAAAAACAAATACCACAAAGGCACATACAAAACGCTAACCGAAGAAAATATGTGAACAATTCTGTAACTTTGATTTCAAAGTTGTGAAACATGATTAACAAAATCAAAGGTAAAGGTTCAAAATCTGCTGTTCATCATCTTGAAGTGCGCGGTCAGTTGCTTACTGACAGACCCGTGGAGATCCGGGTCAGAATTGGTCTTCAGTAACCCAGCTTATCGTAAGAGGCGATTAACAGGATCGGATGATCAGGCCCGCTGACTTGGTTGACACATGCCATCGTTGTGTAGATCGATGCTCATGCTGTTGATCACTGAATTGTCTGGTCCAGACATGATTATTTGTAGACCACCGCCATATACCTTTGATATAGCTCGGTGGGGCACTGAACAACAAACAAACAGAACAATGCCTTACTGACAAACCCGACATTGCAAAACATCTGGGCGAAGCTCTGGCTCGACAGTCTTCATCTTCTTATTGCAAACATAATTTCCAACATTAAATCATATAATAAAAACATATTATTTCCGATAAGACAGAGACTATAACGAGATATTTTCAACTCGTGAGGAAATACGGCATATGTACACCAGTGATACTGCCACAGGTGCTGATAACATCCACTAGATGGGGACCCGTGAAGGTCCGGGTTAGAATGAACCTTCAGTAAACCATGCTTGTCGTAAGAGGCGACTAACGGGATCGGGTGGTCAGGCTCGCTGTCTTGGTTGACACATGTCATCGGTTCCCAATTGCGCAGATCGATGCTCATGCTGTTGATCACTGGATTGTCTGGTCCAGACTCGATTATTTACAGACCGCCGCCATATAGCTGGACTATTGCTGAGTGCTGCGTAAAACTCAACTCACTCACTCACTCCACTAGATGGGAGCTATGTCAGATCTAATCTTACTTAGATGTAGCCCCTAGCTTGTCTGGAAGCAGGAGTGGGAATCTCTACTTGGTACTATGCTGAATAATTTCTCTCCCCCAGGGTCCCCTCAGTACCAGTGGTCCCCCACCAAATGCACGATGATCTTACCGAGGATCGTACGGGGGTCAGCCAGGGCAAGGTAAGTACTCACTCACTCACTCATTCACTCACTCACTCATGTGTCTAGAGGCAGCTGGGTGGGAAAGTGGGTAAAGCTTTAGCTTGGTTCGATTCCCGATGTAGCTATAATGTGTGAACCCCAGTGTGTCTCTCAGTAGTGATGGCTGACGTGGCTGATATCTGACGTCGCATTAGACCATAATCGCCTCCTTTTCTGAAAGAGCTATATAATAGTGACGTAGAGATGAGCAGAAGTACAGTGACCACCCAGCCCCCCCGGCCTCACGCCCCACCCCACACCACTCATCCCACTCGATGTTCTCTGTGACTGTGTCACTATAACTGTACATGGTGATTACATTAACAGGACAGCCGGTCCTGCCGGGAACAGGGACAGTGAACCAGAGAGAGGGTGTCCTCGGCCTTCGACAGCCGTCGGGAAGAACAGGAAGAATTCCAGCGAACCCGACGACAGGAACACCACAGGTGCGAAGGAAATGGACAACAAAGAACACAGAGAGGAGGTCAACGACCGTGAAACCAACGCAGACGCCAGCGACAAATCCAACTCCAACGTCAATGACAACGTAAACGCCAACGCCAACTCAAGCGACAAATCCAACTCCAACGTCAATGACAACGCCAACGCCAACGCCAACGCCAACGCCAACACCAAAGCCAGCTCCAACGTCAATGAAAAAGCCGGCACCAATGCTGACGTCAATGATAACTATTCGGATCATAGCTCCTCACAGAGTAGTGACTCATCGAGCAGTAGCGACTCCTCAAGCACTGATGCGGAGCACAGAGGAGACAGTAAGACCAACAAGCTTAAGCCTTCACAGCTGAAGAAGAAAGAGAGCAAACAAAAGCGAGGTGCTGCTGTTAGCAAAAGAGGGAACAAAAATGTTCCTGGTCGCGATAGAAACCAAAGTAATGCTGGAGGTGGATTTTGTAAGTATTTACCACAAAAATAACAGATTTTACCAGAAAATGCTTGAAACACGGCTGTGCTTCAGACGATAGAAAAAGAGAACATGTCAGACACGCAACTTGTCTTTATTTGTAGTTACTATTTTGTTAAAAATCAGAGTGTTGAGCTAAAGCTGAAAGGATATATAGTCTCTGGACTAAGTTCAGTTGTCCAGTCACAGTGCTCGCTCCGGTACTCCAACAATCCGCGCCTCACCTACACAACGGATGTGAATGAAACTGTTGCTTTACTTTAATAAACCAAACAACTATGTTGGTGAAGGTTGATTCCTCCGGACAATTTGTCGCACCGGGACAATGTATTTGGGGAACTCTCAAGAAGTCCTTACAAAGAGACCAACTATTCAAAAAGGCATTTGGGGTGACATGGATTTTTTGTCAGAGCGAAGTTTTACTCTGCAAGCAATATACTCTTATCGTGAAAGCTGGGGCGCGGTGGGCGAGCTGGCTAAGGCACCAGGCTAGTGATCCAGCGAGGTTGAGGTGCCGGGATCGAGTCCACCTGTGACCGGGTGTAAAAACCTTGGAGTCAACTTTGTGTGCAGACTCTTTCAGTGTTGTCACAACCCCTAGTGTACAGTACACAACCCTGTGCACTGATAAGAACCCACGAATCCGTTGGTATATGACCAGATGGTGGCCACTTGAATACGTGCAAACACCTAGTTGCGGGTACAGCAACGTGCAGTAAACTTGGACAAAGTACTGTGACTATGTGTCCCAGTCCACCCAACTGTGAATGGGTACCTCGTTAGGATGAGAAAGCCACAATAACTCGGTGCGCCTAGTGGCAGCAAGAGTTGTATACTCCCCAGGGAGTTGAGATTGATAATACGATGTGCCGTTGAGATTGACATCCAATGATCGAGGGAAAAATACCAGCGCCTTGAGCATGCACCAGTTGCGTGGATATGTGGGCTATATAAATACAGGGGAACGGTTGTTGAACCCGTCTTACTGTCGTCATGCACCAACGATATAGATCACTACATAAGTTATCAATCAGTGTTTTGCTTGGTACAGGCTTTAGTATCCATAGTCTACAGCTGAATATCTACAGTATTAAAACACAGATACAATCTCCAGCAGGAACGTTCCTTTAATGAGTGACGGAACATTTGGAACGCTTACCCTTCAAATGCTGATAAGATATTAGGAATCATGACGCAGTTTATGGACAGACTCTTAACATTATGATTTATCAAAGGCGAGGTTCAGTACCCTGCCACTGTTTTTAATGTTTTCAGCATCTTTACTACTGAGTTTGTATGGTTTCCTTTGCAGCAAAACCAAGGGGACTTAACTCTGACGATGACTACTCTTCAGAGAGCTCGGAGGACAGCGCGGACGAGAAAGGAAAATAATTTGTGATAAACTATGTCATTGGAGTCTCCAGGTCATTGAACATTCATTGAACACAAGATTTTGTTTATATTTTGTATTTTGCAACGCCAACTGTACATACTTATACGTATTGACAAATGTTATGAGTCAACTGTGTGTATATGTTCTAGGCTGTGGGTCTCTTCAATGAAGGATTAAAAAGTTAGGAAGTCCCGCATACTCGATTTTAAACTGCGTGGGATTTCTATACCATTAAGGAAAATATAGTTTAACATTCGGTTCGTAAATAAAAATCGCCGAGACCCACAACTTACGACACTTTCTCAAGCTTATATGCTTCCAGAAATTTAGACTTGAATAAAATTTCATTTTGTGGAATAATTTAAGACAGAACAATATCCTTTTTGTCAGTATTAATAATGCAGATTTCGTATCATGCGATTGCCATCCTCGTAGAATGTTTGGATGTTTTTTTCTCTCGGAGATTATAGGATACCTAGACAATATCGTTTTTCGAGCTTCCGAAGACCCTAGCTCCCAAAGTACTGCATCGATTTTTGTGCTGTATGGCTCATTTTGTAGGTAAATCTATTGGCTTGAAATGTGTGCATACTTTAAATGGCATAAATACAGTGAGTATTGTTGAATTCGCCCTGAAACGAACCTGGTGTGTTGACCTCGTTACATCTCTTTCCTTTTATATAGTAATAAGACCCGTCAGTGACAGTATATGCCTTGATGGCCGTTTTTAGCGTTACAAGCCCCTGTGACTCGATGTTGGTGGCAGCTGTCAGTGATGGGGCCTGTAATTGTGATTTTGTAACTTTTGTTATCACAAGGAGATTAAAATCTTACAGACTATAGCATAGTCGATAAACAAGTGATTTTATTTTTAGCTACATTCCACCCATTGTACCACGTGGAGAATCGAACCCGACACGTTGGTGTGACAGGCAAACGCTTTAACCACTAGGCTACCCCTATTAAAACAGATAGTGTTTTCAAAATAAATGTACTACGAAACTTTTACTTATTTTCTTTTTAAAATTATTTCAGAGATGACTGTTACACTTCTAGTCCGTAACGCTAATGAGTATTCTCAATCTTAGTCTGATCCGGGGTTAGAATTGGTCTTCAGTACCCATGCTTGAAGGCGGTTTCTAACGGGATCAGGTGGTCAGGCTCGCTGAATTTGTTTAGTGAGTGAGTATGGTTTTACGACGCTTTTTGCAATATTCCAGCAATATCACGGCGGGGAACATCAGAAATGGGCTTCATTTCTGATGTTCCCATATGGGGAATCGAACCCGGGCCATCGGCGTTTTTAACCACTAGGCTACCCACCGCCGGCTGAATTTGTTAACACATGTGATCGTATCCCAATAGATCGATGCTCATGCTGTTGATTACTGGATTGTCTGGTCCAGACTCGATTATTTACAGACCGCCGCCATATAGCTGGAATATGGCTGAGTGCGGCGCTACACAACAAACAAACACTCCTAGTCTACTCTCTAATTCTTTAGTAATATGGAATATGTTATGGAATAATGGAATAAGTCAAGGCCAGAAAAGAGCCAGTCAGGAGTCTCCACTGAAACGAAACACATCCCATCGGCCATAAGTCACATGTCAAGCAATTCCAAATAGTACAGGCCGAAAGGTCGTGGTAGGCAGAATTCGTGTTGGGCTGGTCGTTTCAAATTTGTATAGTTTCTAATAGCCTGCAGTATATTTGCGTGTCAAGTTCACTTGTCACAATCTCCTTTTTCAAAGGATGGTGTGAAGAGCTCTGTGAGCGCTAAATCTTCACAATAACGTTATCCAAATGGCAGACTGCCAACTTGAATCTATTTCAAACACGTGTCATAATGTGTCACTCTTGTGTATAGTATACAGTTGGTAGCGAGGAGTAAAAGTACGAGCTAAATATAACGTGCTGTTCTCGAAGTGGTATCATCCTACTAGCTACGTGCTGTCAGACCGCTTGGGGAATCCGGTTAGAACTGGAACCAGTCAGCCTATACTGGTCGTAACAGGTGATCTGATTCATCGGGTGTTCATGCCAGTGTTTGTGTTTTCTGTTGAACACCAACTCTGCAATATCCCAGCTGCACGGCGACGGTCTGTTGATAATCAACTCTGAACCAGACAATCAAGTGATCAACAGCAAGGGCATCGATCTACGCAACTGGAACCGATGACATGTGCCAACCAAGTTACCCTATCCTGCTTGTCGCCGTTATGACATGTATGGGTTGCTGAAAGCCAATTACAACCAGGATCATCACGGAAGACAAGCATAGGTTGCTGAAACTAAATTCTAACCCGTATCTTCACGGAACACAAGCAAGGGTTGCTGAAGAACATTTCTAACCCGGGTGTTAACGGAAGACAAGCATAAGTTGCTGAAGACCAATTCTGATCTGGATCTTCAGGAGTCGTTCAGGCCACACGTCATCGAATCCCGATCATCTCACATAAAATCAATAACTTATTCAGATTGTTTGGTTAAAAAAATCGATTTTAATGGCATATGGCCGCCGTCAAATGACTGTAATGTTGCTAAGTGGATCGTTAAACAACAAACAAACAAACTACCAGTACCAATGTTCACAATGCAACTTTAACATCTGTACAGAATCCATCCAACCGTTGGCGTCTTGGACATAAATAATGAATCCACATGAAGTACGTTCTGAAGAAAACCTCGTTCGATCCAATTCACCCTGAACGTCAGGCAAGTCTGGCATTATGGAATTCCATCTCGAGGCCAAAACGTTGGGAAAAGTGTTCTTAACAATCAAATATTAACGTTCGGGGAATTCCCAGTGGTCATTATCCTATAATGGATGACCGTTTGAGAATTGACAATCCATCACACTGCAGTTCTCTCCCTTCGAAAATTGGATACTCTTGAAAATGATTTACGTTTATTTTATAGACAGGTAAATTCTTAAAACAACGCAGGTGATACGGATAAAACTAAAGATTCCGAAATTGTAGTGAGTGAGTGAGTTTAGTTTTACGTCGCACTCAGCAATATCCCAGCTATATGGCGGCGGTCTGTAAATAATCGAGTCTGGACCAGACAATCCAGTGATCAACAGCATGAGCATCCAAATGCGCAAATGGGAACCGATGACATGTGTCAATCAAGTCAGCGAGCCTGACCACCCGATCCCGTTAGTCGCCTCTTACGACAAGCATGGGTTACTAAAGATCAATATTGTAACCCGGACCTTCACGGGTCCGAAATTGTAAGAGATATTTGTTTTTGGTATAGTTGTAAGGTAACAAAGAATGAATCGGGAACATTTTACAGTCGGTAGTGAAGTATGACAGTCCATGTTTATGGTCGCCTACTTTCTTGAAATACGATAGTGAAATTTCAGAGTTGACTTCGGTTGATTTCGGTACAGTCGTGCGTAATGCCGGTACGATGATTAGTCACTCATTCATTCATGAGACAGAGTCTACTGCATAAGTGTGTGTCCGATACCATTTAGCTTACAACGAGTTGTTTTAAAAGAGATCTAACGAGCAAAAGCATGACAAGCCGGTTTCACATTTATTAAGAAATACTGATATCTTAAATCGAATGATAAATAGAGGTATCTTGAATTGAAGATATCATGAAATGAATTGAAGATATCTCGAATAGAGATAATTATAGAGATTAATGATATTGTGGATTAAGGGTATAATGAGGCATTTTAATATACACATGCCAATAATGGTTGTCACCCCCCCCCCCCACCCAAGCCCCCACACACCTCACACACCCACCCACACCCCCTTTCCAATTAAAAAAATTGAAGGGGTGACAACCATTATTGGCATGAGTATATTATCTTGGAAAGAACTGCTGATATCTTAGATTAGAGTAATGATATCGGAATGGGATTTAAAGATATGTACAAATTCATGTTCTTATTGATATCTGTTATTCAGTTCCTGATATCTTGCTGTCAAAACAGATAACTGTAATTATAATTAAAGTTATCTTGAACTGAATTGGAGATATCTTGAATTGAATTAATGATATTTCAAATAGAGATAATATATTGAGAAATTCCTGATATCATAATTGTTTTAAAGACATCTTGAATGTAAATAGAGATATCTTGAATTGAATTAGAGATATCTTGAAATGAATCAAAGATATCTCAAATTGAAATACTTTTGCCATCCTTTCCTGTTACAGATATAAATAATTGATATAGAGATATCGTCAAGTGTATTTTATGGCCAGAATTGAAGATATCTCTAATTGAATTAAACATATCTCTAATTCAATTCAAGATATCTCTAATTGAGTAGAGATGTATGTAATGCATTGTGGATATGAGAAATTATTTCCAGATATCTTGAATTGAATTTAAGATATCTTGAATTAATTTTTCATACAATCATGTTCACTATGATATCTTTAAAAACATTATTGATATATCTAAATAGAATACAGATATCTTTAAAACAGTTAGGATATCTTTAATTTCTCAATAAATGTGAAATCTGCTTGCCCAACAAAAGCAAGTTAAAGCAAAAAATTCACTGTGACAGCTTTCGCTCATTGAATACGTTTTGAAACTACTCGTTGTAAGATAAACTGTATCTGACAAACACGAGTTCAGTAATCTGTTTCTTTCTCACCATAAATTGCACCAGTTTAGGGTCCAATAGATTCAAATTTCATATTTTCTCATCGTAGTGGCGCAATAAATCACAACTCAACGTTCATGAATGAGTGACGTCACTCGGCTCCCCGATGTTTCTGACACATCTGTGCGTTATCAAGGGGATGAATAACGAGTGAGTGAGTGAGTGAGTTAAGCTTTACGCCGCTTTTAGCAATATTCCAGCAATATCACAACGGGGGACACCAGAAATGGGCTTCACACATTGTACCCATGTGGGGAATCGAACCCGGGTCTTCGGCGTGACGAGCAAACGCTTCAACCACTAGGCTACCCCCTTCTCGCAGTCAGATGAAAGGTAATCAGGCTTGAGGTACTTGTGACCACAAACACGACGATGTTAAAATGTAGATGTAGATGATTTTCCTTTTTGAAAACAACTTAATTGAGAGTGTGACGTTATTGTAATCGTTTAGGACATTTGCTGGGGTGGCTCATTAGCGTCATCAGAAGATTGTTTGAGTATTTTTGCACATCTGCACTTGCGTAAAACTTCACATTCAACGTTCTTCCATGGACCGGAGTCAAAACTGTAGAAGAGTCTTTATTATTATTTGACACCCGTATAATTCAATGTAACACTGCTGTATATTTCGTGATCCCCTACCTTATTTCAACAGCATATACTTCAAAGTGACAGCTGGTTCACCTCAACGATCTCCCCTTCTTCAGTTTCATAAA